ACGCTTATTTTCTTAGTTATCATGTGTGTCTTCATGAAAACATAAAACAAACTTGGTAGTCATTAGTGATTGTTTGTAGTCATATAATTTTTGAAAGATACGTGCATGATAAAGGCGTAACAATGCATTTTTAGTCACTTATATGTAAAGAATGGAAATCATTGATTTTCAAATGAAAAATAAGACTGTGATTTACATAAAATCCGCTTTGTAATGAACAACGGAGATTCAAGAAGAGGAGGGAGAAAGGGAAAAAGAAAGATAGAAAGATGTATATGGCGATAGAAAGAAAGACAAAGAAAGAGAAGAATTTAAAAGGGGGGGGTGGCGTAGAAACTTCAAGGGAATCGCTTATTCGCGCACCAAAATATCATTGTTTTTTTTATATAAATGCATCAAATGAGTTATATGATAAATTAATTCTTTCTTTTAGCCCTATCTATTATATACAATGAATACACCTGGGTAATCTGACGTTTTTATAATTTATACGTGCAGGCAATATTTCATATTTAGAAGGTGGGGTCTCAGTTTTGATTTAAACAAAAAATTGCAAGACAGCCGGATAGCTGCAGAAAAAAACAATATTTGATTGAGAGAATGGATTGAAAGGATTAATGAAACGGAAACGATGACAAATATAAGATTTCAATTTAGTTTTCTCTTCCGTTTCTCACATGTCCTTCTCTTGTACATAATGCTTTTAATTTGACTTAACATACAATCTCGGTTTAGCTTGGTAAAAAAAAAATCGAAAAAGCCCCAACAATGGATGACCGTATCAACTGTTGAAAACTTCAAAAATAGACATGAGTTGTAAAGAAATAAAGAATTGTTTGCAAACAGCCTGAACAAAGGGAAGTAATATGGAAAGAATATGGTAATTTCACGAGTGTTGCGGAGCTATTATTCTCGGCGTTCCGCTCCCAGCTCCAGGGATTTCCTCATTAACTTTTGGGAATGTTTTGACGTCAAGAACATTGAAAAGTATGATAAATAAACAGAAGATTGGTGACCATGCATGAAATTGTGTTTGTACGGATGGCTAGCTGGTTCTACCTCTGAATTCAGTTGTGAGATAAAAGAAGGGGAGACGGAGAGAATAGGGAGAGGAGAGGGAAAAAAAGGAGAAACAAAAAATAAAACACGCGCGGTTTTAATCTTTTCATGCAGCGTTTAAGTTGATCAAAGGCACCCTCCAAATTGCTGATTTATTTTCTGGGATTATTTGTATTTTGCTGGCGAGGGAAGGGGGTAAAGGGGGTGCACTTTTGTTAGTGAAAGGTTGAGGGCAGGGGGATAACAAGGGACATACATGAGATTGTTTTGCTGTAGATTGGGTAGAGATGAGAATGGATGGGACCGCATGACAAGTTAGGATTGTACCATGTCAATCTTCATCCCGGATGCCTAAAAAGTGCAGGTTGGGGTTCTCTGTATATAGTAGAAAAGCATGGTAGGGACTCGTTTGTTTCGAGCTACAGAGACAGGTGTGCAGAAAAAAAGTGTTGGTTAGGTATAGGGTTAGGATGTGGGTAGATAATGAAATAGACTTTAAGAAAAATATAGCAATGATATGAGCCTCACCAAAAGGATGGGCGAGAAGGAAATGATAAAGAATAATGATGACAATGATAATAATAATAATACTAATAAGAAGAAGAAGAAGAAGAAGAAGAAGAAGAAAGGAAGGTGAAAACTGAAAAGAAGCAAACAAAATAATAAAACAGTTAAACAAATCATATTAAGTAGATAAGATAGAGAAAAAGGGAAAAAGAAGAGAATATAGATGAATAATTATAATACAAAAATGAAAAAGAATAAGAGAAAACATTGAAGGAGATGACAGAGAGAGAGAAAGGTGGAGAGAGAGGTGGATAGGGGGAGAAAGGGAGATAGAGAGGAAAGAGAAGGAAAAAAGAGAGAGAGAGAGAGAAAGAGAGAGTGTGTGTGAAAAATGAGGTGTTGGGCAAGGCATATAGGCCTACATATACACGCTCAAACACCAAACGGCGCCACTTTCACGCCAATTCCTATACGGCTATAGGTACATGCACATACTGCATAGGCTTTTTGTCCATTTATCTCACTCTCTTTCCGTGCTCTCCCCTCCTTTCTCCCTCCTTTCTCTCGTCATCTTTTCTGAATGCATCAATTATTTTCTCGACTTATCACCTTTGTTGTTCTTTTGGGTAATAGTGCCTATACATGTATATAACATGTAAGGGTAGTGTTACAAAACAATTTCCTCAAGTCATTTCAATCGAAAGGAGAAATTTTGCTGATATTTGTCCCCACGCATAATTTGTTATTCTTTATGCCGCTTCTCATTCATTCATATGCATTTTTTTTACAAAACAAAGTGTCTTGTAAAATGGTTTAATCTTCCTTTTAAACAAACCCATCTATACAAATTTATTTTAGAAGAATGACAAAAATTGCCATACTTTCACCCACAACGAAGGTTCTGGATGAAACACAATACTATTTAGGTCGATATATGAATGTTTATAGATATTAGTCAACATAATTATGTTAATGCTTTTAGTAAATATGAGAACAGTTACATGGTTTAAAGTCCTTCACAAAATATTACATGGCTCTTTTATTTTTAATAAAGGTCATATTCATAATGGCAAAATATAAATTAAATCACTACTATAAAAGGAGAAGGTATAAAAGGAGAAAAGTAAAAAAAAAAGAAGAAGAAAGAAGTGATTTGGGGATGATTATAAATGCATAGGCTTTACAACATGTAACAAAAATGCAAAGATTCTTCCATAGAAAAATAAAACATGCCTGACCGTCAGCGCAGAATCAAGAAAGATTATTTATCGAGTTAAAAAAAAACTTATCCTAATAGTTGTCGGCTCATATATCTGATTTGAATTATATGATACTTTCGTCAACAACCAAGCATTTTATGTAGTTCCGAGGACACCCCTTTTTAATACCATCATGAGTTTGACACAATAAGGGGACCCCAGTCGAATGGAAACTTACTCTCGTCATCCCCACTCCAGGAAAATAAAAACGATCTCCAACATATGTTTGACATTCCCCTTTATTTTTTTCTCCAAGATTCGAGTTTGACAGCGACAGACAAAGCCAAAGAGGTCGAGATATTGTGAGTGAGGTGGCGTCGACTCGACAAACTCTTAAACTTTTCAAAAAGCAAAACCAACAGTAAAGCGGGTTTTTCTGTTCCGTTGATGCCAATTAAATGTGTTAAAGATGACAGTGACGGCGACTTGTATTTCAAATTGAAATAAAAGTGGCACCCTTAAGCCTATACATACATTTTTCACATCCATCTATATTTTTTAAAGATTAAGAGTTTATAGGAAATTGATATGAAGGGGAAAATGCTCTAGAGCAATGGCTAACAGAGTGTTTTTTTTTAGTAATGATATAGAAAATGTAAATGTCTTGCTTCGAAATGACAACCGTGGCCTTTTAAATCTTTGAATTTATATTTAAATGCGATTAAAAAAAATTATTATACAACAAACACCGGTAACAAAAGATAACTAAACAAAAACATATGAAAAAATAAACTAATCAAATCGAAACAGGGAAATATAATTGATTTTTTGATTCGATTTGATTTGATTTGATTTTTGGTTTCTCCTTCTTTTTTTTTGTCATCATACATTTTCATGAACATAATATGGTTTGATACAATATTTTAAGTGTATATAATAAACGAATTTAAACAAATATATTGAATGCATAATTAACATACATTAGATGCAGGAGGGCTACAGAAATACGCAAAGTAGCTTGACGTGCCCGCAGCCCTCAACTTAGATACAACAACAATAACAAATACAAATAGAAAAGACTGACTTGCAGAGAAGAAAAGGAAAGGGGAGAGAAGGAGCGTTGGTAATAATATATAAAATCAGGGGGAAATGTGTAAGTTATTATTCAGATAGGCGCATTGTGATATGAGTCTAGTCAAAGAGGGGCACGTGTGCAATGGGGGCGTGTTTTGTGAACAGAATAAGAGTGTGGTAGGTTTTGGGTGGGGGACAAGGTCCAATAATCATCTTTCACTTTGCCTCCCACTTTTTTGGCGATTCGTTAGGGGATGTGCCCCGTGCCCTCGGTAGCTACGCCAATGTTTAAAACAGAACATGGTTGTTTATAAACAATTAGTTGCTTTTCTCTCGACGAACACAATCTCTGTTATCCTGATTTAAATTTCGCGCTTATGGTATTCCCATTTGTTCGATGGACTTTTTCAAAATGCTGTTAAGTGCTTGTCAAAATGTTAATTTAAGCATAAGTGTATAATTATATTCAAAGTCTGATAAAAACCCAAATTTGAGAATCGATATTTTACATTGAAATCAATAGCATTCATGATCATTAATTTCAAAGATACAGTTATACTTTCTTTTCATAATTGAATTTCATTGTTAGGGCGAGATGGACAGAGAAAGAGAGAGAGAGGGATAGAAGGTAGGGGGGACGACGACGAAGCCAAAACCGGCGTGAAAAAGATGATATGACCCCTCAAATACCCCAGAAAGATACAAAATGAAGATAACGAGAAAGTTTAAAAAGCTAAACGTATGAACATACAAATGTATAGCTATTAAGGTATATGATGAGGAAATGTAAATGAGGTTGACCAAAGAGATGTATTGTGATCAAGATGAATATCGGAGGCGTGCAGGCGTAAACCGTGATACTGGCCGCGTGCGCACGCAAACTTTGTGCATCCTCTATTCAAGTCGGTCGCCTTTTTTTTTTTTTACAAAAGCTGCGCTGCAAACGTTTAGGCTGTGGGTATATAGGAGATACAATTATCATTTTGTTGCTTTGTTCATTTACAAAGTTCGTTGTCATTACCTAGCTAGCTAGCCGAGAGGTGGATTGGGCATGCGCCCGGGTTTTGACTCGCATCTCTTTTTTTCACTTCGTTCCAACTCGTTCATGTGTGAAGCATCCTGGTTGGATTGGTGTGTCGCTATCACGTGGTTCGCCTCACTCATAAAATATTCTAATATTTTTTCTCTCTGACCTTACAGCGACACAAGTTTGCGATTCATCAAAGCGAACACATCAGATGTAGAGAGGACGACTTGTGTATCTATCTATTAGTCAAAGACCTGAGTGAGATAGTACAGACTCTGGAGCCAGCCGTCAAAGTCAAGCCGAGCGGAGTTACAAATCACTTGGCAGTTGCCCCCAACTCAACCAGAAGTCAAACAAGGTCCTCGAGACAAATGAGCTCGTATTTCGCACATCCGATGGCTGGTGCCGAATTCCACCACAGCGGTGGCTCAAATTACCCTCAGCAGTCGGTAGGGAGCTACGCGTTGACCGCCGAAGGCCCACAGCACTCCTCCCATCGCCACCAGCACTACCAGGCGGGCAACCCTGTAGCTAGCCCGCCGGCAAGCTACGCCTACCCCTACACCGAAGATAGCCTTCACTCTCTACAAAACGGCTATTACACCATGGAAGGGGCTACCGGCATGGATGCCACCACAGCGATAAACCACCATCATGCCGCATCAGTGAACTCTACTTGCGGGTACACGGTAGACCCCTGCTACCAGACCTCGCCCGCGGGTATGGGGGCAATATCACGCAGAAAGACACCCACTAACACCCCTCCAGTCACCCTCTCGGACTGTGCGTCAAACGCAAGTCCTCCGACGAACATCAACAACAACAATAACAATCACCCTGGCTCAATAAAAGGCTCGGGGAAGGGGCAAACCAACGAACAAATCTACCCTTGGATGCGACGTATACACTCCACGACAGGTCAGTAATTAACTTCCTGATTAATCAACTATAATAATTACCTACATCATACCACTGTACCTTATTAAGAGATAACAATAATCCATCATCCGATATGACGCTGACTCTTTACAAATTATTTGATTCCTGAACCCCTGACCCTTTTTCAAATTTACTTCATCAACAAATTCATTTGACTCGCCAAGGACTCTATCCAGCAAATGATCAAAAAGCCCCTCTTAAAAAGTTTTGCCAATTAGCTAAAGAGGCATAAACATTGAACTTGGGTTTCTATTCACCCTCCTACACCCCCTTACAACTGAATCGCTCCCATTCAAAGAAAATTCGTTGATTTTTCTGATCTATTGTACTACTATGTCTGCAGTCAGCCATATCGGCTTGTCGATACTTTGTTACTGTGTCAATACCATCTATCATTTTCCCTGTCTCCCCTTATTCCATTTTGCGGTAAATATTGGTATCTAATCCGTACTCATCGCTTTCAAACTTATTTCGGCTGTGAATACAGCGAGCACAAAAAAGTTTTTGAGAGAGCGAGCCCCTCTTGTTACCAGTGGTCGTTGCTTGCAGCAAGCCCTCCAGCGGGCATTGTCCCCTCCAAGTTCTGTCTTCAAAGCGCCCTTTATACCAATGCTAACGAATTTTCGACTTTTTGAAAAGCTCATTGTGGAATCTTACATTATGGCGCGGAGAGCTCGGAGAGGCGGTGAAGTCTGGCATAATTTAGAACCACCACACAATGCGATACAACAATAATTAAATATTGACTTTGAATGCAAAACGATACTGTAGCCAAAGTACAAGGAAATACTTAGTTGGAAGAAAATGCACAATGCATGGCAATCGTTCACTTAAGCAATTTTCTTTAGATCTAGTATCAGTCTGGGATGTTCAACTCAGCAAATTCATCTTTCAATTATAATTCAAAACTTCCCTCACTTATCACATACATCAATGTACATTCGTACAAATATGTTTGCACATGATTAGTTTTTGATAACAATTGTATTTCTAAAGTGTGTAAGTAATTATTAAATGAAGATAATACTCAACGTGCTATACATTTGTTTACAATTTTAAAAAGAGGGAGAACAAAAACTCTCAAAGGTTTCCTTGATTTAAAAACATATATAGTATGGATGCGAAATCATTTTGATGGATACAATATAAAGTGTTGGAGAGTGTGTGATTTACATGGTATTACAAATGCGTACTCAAGAAATTATCTTGAACACGGTAAAACACAAAGTTACTTTCCTCTAATTTTTTATGAATAGCTATCGTATTTGTAAAGCTTGTAGTTTGTTTTGAAGTTTCAGGTACCCCTAAAATTGTTGAAACAAATCTTGTTGAACTCACGATCTTTGGTAGTAAAAGGTTTTATATGTTTTATTTTCTGTTTGTGCATTTTTCCTTAAAAAACGAGTAATGCAAAAAAGACTTCCCCTAGTACACGAGGTTTTATTCCTTTTATCCCAGTTAACGCCGTTTGGTCGAAGAGAATAACACTCGTGCTTTCTTCATCAACATGGTATTGGATTACCATTCAAACTCACTGAAATAGAATACGTGTAGTCTATCGAAAGTATACAAAACAGTGGGACCAATATTTTGACATATGAGATTACAACATCAATTGACAAAGCAAAACCGAATTTGAAAGTGATAGTCTGCAAATACTTATATACACTTTACACATGAAGGGCCAACAGCTTTGTTAGCTCATAGACATGTACTTGTATTACGATTCGCTTACTTTTCACAATACAGTATACGTTTTGTAATTTGAAAGCAGATGGTATAACAGTTTGATAACTTTTGAACACCTGTAATTATGTACATGTTTGCTAAAGCCTGGCAGGATTACAACTAAATCACTGTGAACGTTATATATTTGAATTCTAACAATATGAAAGCAAAGATATTCCGTTTTGAAATTAATAGAAATTCGTATTCCCCTCGCAAACGGCTTCGAGTCTGCCCGCAGAATTTGTTTCGATCGGTTGACTGGAGAGGCGGACGCCGACAGATGCGGGCTGAAAAGGGCGAACGATCGCTATCGCATTTACGTCGCCCGAAAAACTTAAAGAGTTAAATTTGTTCATCATTTATACACATTTTGCAATTAACTTACAGGGAATTGTGAAATATAATTATGTGTAAACGGGAGTATATATTTTACGCATATGCCTGAAATTCGTCTTTAATAGAGTAAAAAGGAGAATAATGACCTGGTTAAACGGAAATTTCGTTGGTGATTTAAGGAACGATAATGAGTCATTTCTCATTCCCCTAATTTTCGTTATACTTATTATAACATAAATTTCCTTGAATAGGTAAACGAACGATATAATTTGAACTGTCTGTTCTGGAAGTTATTAAAATAATGAAAGTTTTGATGTGACTTGCAGATCTAACAATGTCATCTCAAAATACCATTGCATACCGATTGCAAACTTCTAATGTTATAGTATTATGTGTTAAGTGATGTTTTATTTTCACAAATTTCAAAACAAAACCAGGAAAAACGCATTGATACAGATTAAAGGGAAGTTGAAAACAGCAATACACAAACTCACCCTCAACCCAACCTATTCGGGGGAAGGGGGGGGGGGGGAATACAAACAAGTAATTTGAATGTTCATCAAAGCCGACACTATTACCTCATTGAGCAGACAATAATTGGATGCGTCGAGCAGTAATAGTTCACCGTTAACCCAAATCCGTACCCTGTCAAATTACAGTAATCAGTGTAATAGCTGAAAATCAAAGTAATGGCATTTGTGTAAATTGCAATCGCTGATTTGCGCCCTGCCCCGAGACCGTTACCCGTTAGATTGGTAGCAATAATCTTGTCTATGTTCGGGTTTTTTTCTTTCTGGTTCAGCGTTCCTATCACAATCAGATAGTGCCCCTGTATGTAGACGCATTGGCGGCGAGTGAGTAAGCAAGGAGCGACATTTATGCTATTCGCTCAACAACATTCACATGCACATGCCTAATTGTATTTGCTTGCTTGTTCCATCCATGCATACGCGCTTACATCCAACACTGTTGGTAATAATTTGCCATGTTGCCATAAATGTGATGCCTTTGTGGAGAGTGCTGTATGAACTGATACCATATGGTTATTTTAAAGGAACCCTTGTTTGATTTTGAGTTAATAACTTGTAATGTAGATCGAAAATGAGTCTATATTGAAAATGCTAGATGTCACTGATTTGAAACATTGATTTGAGTGTCATCAATTGATAATCCCCAATTCACGAGTGATTTAAATGTACGTTATTGTTTTAGTGAAGTTACTTAGTGAACTATCATGACTATAGGGCTTGTGTGTCATCAGTTGATAAACCCCAATTCACGAGTGATTTAAATGTACGTTATTGTTTTAGTGAAGTTACTTAGTGAACTATCATGACTGTAGGGCTTGTTTGACGTTAACCGTTGCAAGTTGATAAGACCAATTTAAATGTTGAATAGCTAAATTCAACCCACCACATAATATCTAATTTTTGATATTTTGACTTTTGTCATAATTATTTACCTTTATAATTTTGAAATGGTAAACATATCAAAGTGCAAGCTTGACTTTTGTTTATCAAAAACAAATTTCGTTACTATATACACTTCACAAGTGTGACAAAAATGTATTGAATCTGTATTATTTATTTGTGGTGTTTTATTTGTTGTATTATATGAAGGAAATTCATTTCTGGCTTATAGATCCTTTAACCTGATGTAATGGGAGAAGGAAACCTAAGATTTTTTATTATATCAGTTTATAGTTTTGCACTAGTTTTGATTGCTTTAGTCCAATGTAATGCAATCTAAAAAATTCCCGCACTCGAGCGTACATGTATAGCTTGTGATTCAACTCAAGAGTTTTCATGGCATCGAGGGGAAACCATAATGTGGTTGAATCGGTGCAATTCATTCATATTCAGGAGTCGATTTCAATTACATTCCGTAAGTGCTGTGGAGAATTATTAGAATGCTCCCAAATGTATTTAATAAATCATGCTACAATCATTCCATTTCTCACAAAGAACCTGCCTTAAAAGATAAACCCGATTTATTCATCTGTCAAAATACAGAACGTGTAAAGGTTTGGAATTAATTTCGTCTGAACTAATAGATGTAGGGCAATGCTAATGGCGTTTAAAACGGTTCTATCGTAGTTTTGTAAGCTATACTACACTGTAGATTAGAATATAGATATCATTACTTTTGTATATTGCAGGAAGATACCTCTTCTCTTTTATGTAGTTCAAAATGTTAACTTATTTACAATGAGAAACTTATCGTTACTTTCAGTTGCCTATACGCAATTCGTAGCATAATTATTTTGATTCCAATACAATATTTCGATTCATTCGCTGATTGACAGATAAAGAGATCTATAGATAGAGATGTAGATAAACTAATTTATTGATTGGTTGGTTAGTTGTTTTAGCTGGGTCCTAAGAATCAAGCAATTATAACTATTTGTATCTAAACTTAGGAACTTGGGGTTCACCATGTTGAGTCTAAGAATAAAAAGTCATTGTCCAAACTCCAAACGACGGCACACTGATCGAGCCTCGATCATGTGATATCAGCTTACAACCCCATTGCTTTATCCACCGAACGTGTGCATGGCTTTTGTCCAATTCAGATATTTTCACTTGTATAAATTATGCACGTCAGGTTTCTGATTGTTAAGTTGTACAAAAGTGACCATCACTTTTATCAAGTATTGCGTGTTACCCTTAAAAAAAAAGAAAGCTTAGACATGTCTTTGATTAGAGCTCTTCATCGAGTTGTAGACTGTGTTTTTCTTCTTATGTATCTGCTTGTATTTTAGGGTCCATTTCTCGACAGAAGTTGAATTGTGATTGTATGTACATCTTCTTTCGTTCATTTGTGATACTCTGAAACATAAGGTGTATATGCAAAATGTAAGATTTGTTGATGTCGGAGGGAAGTATGATCCCCAAATGGACGAAAATTTCACCTTA